TAAGCTTATGCACTTCAATATGACTTCTGTTATCTATACACTTACAGTGTTTTAGATTTTGATAGTCCAAACGGGGAAAAGTGCATATCTTTTCGCACAATTTTACAAACAAACTTCCACATAATAAGGCTGATTAGATGTGAGAACTTAATAAATAGCTGATAGCTCTATATGTCATGTAAAAAGCGCACGCCCGAGCAGCAGCACCATCACCACCACTATGCTTACCTTGACCCACAGGAAGTCCATGTCCAGCCCAGTAGGTAACCACAACGAACCCGTCATGTTGATCGAATCCGCGTACTGGAATAATATCAGTAATCACAAACTATCATAAACATTTCAAACCTGGTTGATGTGCATGCGTTCAACTTCATTGCCGTCAATCAGTAGAGCTCCTCCACCATAGGAAGCATCGACGTGAAACCACATGCCTTCTCGGTGGCATCTGTCAGTGTATACGAATTCGATCAACTACGCAGAAAGTAACTATTTTTTCAAAATTATCGTAACTATTTCCTGATTTTGAATTAGGAAATTTTCGTTGCCCAAGCATGCATCAATTTCCAAATTGTAATTTCGGGAATCAACAAGATTTTTCAACACTTTTATCTGAGGTTGATCCCGATATTTTCATCACACGTACATCTGGCCGATAGCTTTAATATTGTCAACTACTCCAGTGAGTTCTGTACCGAATGAGGCGATGCACAGCGCTGGTATGCTCGACTGTGATCTGAAAAAGGTAGAAGTCGCAAAAAACCTCCTACAGTGTTTTAAAAATGATTCGCTATTTCTTCGAAACTTGAAGGGTAATTCACTGGAGTTTCACCCGTGATGTGAAAAACACTAGTGAAAAACACATTTCACATTTCACTTCGCGAAAAACGCATGTGAACAGTGAATTTCGCGTAAAACATGTGAGGTGTTTTTCATGTGATATGCAAAACGCGAAATCATTTCGCGTTTTACGCGTTTGGCGCGATATGCATGCAAATTTCTAGCTGGTCAACTCTGGCTTCAGTGATCCTCCAGTCCAACTGAATATCTATACATATCCATGAAATTATTCAAGGCTAGTCGACTAGGTGGTGTGGACCGAAGACTTGCGGGGCTCCCCCCGAAGTCTCGGTCACAAGACAGGTGCCCGATTAATTGGTGCCGTACCAGTGGCCACTGTCACTGTGGAGTGAGCTCTGCCACGCAGTGGCACAGTCCCTGTCGGCCATCACCGTCGTACCATTGACGGATCAAGTCCTTCCTGGGAAGATGCGGGTTCGAATCCCATGGATGTCATTATTCAAAACTTTCCACCCCTGCCACCATTGGGACTCGAGCTGCCTGCGGCAGCGTGCCTCGGATCATCTGTATTCCGCAACGTATGAATGAACCGCCACAGGGTATGATTTACTCTCAAGGTCTCCAAGGCTTGGAGTCCAAGCCCTGCTCTTACTGAGCTATCCGAACCAGTATAAGGTGAAGACCTGATGAAGCCGGCGTGGACGGGTACTCCGTGAAATCTTAGCATGTATAGTCGAACTGGTTAGCCTGTTCGGCCGTACATCGAGAGGTCCCCGGTTCGAACCTCGCTCAGCTCTCGCCCACAATCCCTCACAGAGGGGTCCGCAAGGCTGGTTGCTACATATGGCTGTTGACGGGATGATGATCATGATCATCCCACGAGGCCCCAACGTGGAAGTGCCAGTAGTAAGACGGATCCCGCGAGTGAGGTGACTCCATAGAGTGAAATGTGGGTGGACAGCTGGCAGTGGCATGAAGAGGACTTTTAATGGATGTTACTGCGAGATGGGGTGTTTTTCGCGTTTTTCCCCGTATAAAACGCGAAAAACGCGTATTTTCTGGCAAATTACGCGTTATTTCGCGAAAAATGAAGGTGAAGTGTAATACGTGTTTTTCACTGGTCTTTTCACCCTAGTCGGTGCATATCGCGATTTACTCCATGTGAATTTCGCGAAAACGTGTTTTTTCACGCGAAATTCACATCGGGAAGTGAAATTCATTTTACATGCCTTTTTTCACGTCTCGAAATCGCGTTTTTCTCGATAAAAAATTTCGCGAAATTCACAATCTCCCTTGTGAAATATATGGTGTAAAACGCCGATTACTCGGAGTTTTTCGCGTTTATCGCGAAATGCCGGAAGCGTTTTACGTGAAATGTGATGATTTGTCTGGTGTAATTCGCGAAGTGTTTTCAATTCACTTCACATCGCGAATATCACGTTTTTCACGTGGAGTATTACGCCACTTCGCGTAAAACGGGTGAAACTCCACTGAACTAAGTATTTCTGGAAAAAGTTGAAGAAAGAGAGCAATTTTCCGAGAAATTTTTGGGAAAATTATCGAAAATTCAGACAAAACATTAAATTGTTTCGAAAATGCTATGAAGATAATTTGCGAAAGTGACTCGAAACTGACGACCGTATTTTATTAAATTCGAAAAAAAAGAAAAAAAAGAAAAAATTCGAAATTAAATTTTATATTGCTCAAATTCGGGAAAAACGAATGCGTTTACCTGTCCTCAGCAATCATGGCTTCTAGTGCATCGACATCCATAGAAAAATCTGAGGTTACAGGAACCTGAAGCACAGTGTGGGAAAATATGCACATGATCAACTACGCATTTTCGTGACAGTAAAAGAAAATGCGGGGAAATTCTTCTGTACACCAAGTCCTGTGTGGCTTTGGAAACTCCCAAGCTCAGCCGAGGAAAGCAAAAAAACATATTTTCCAACACTGGTCAGTTTTGTATGCAAGAGAACGCCCACATTTCTGAGGTCAATTCCAGCAGCAGCGCAAGCCTTCCACACTGATCGCTGCGATTCTGTTGACGAGTAGCTGAGACGAGAAGAACTAAACCGGCATCAGTGTGAGGGGGATATGCACATGGTCTGCTACATGTGTTGGTGACAATATGAGAACTCTGAGGAAATTTTGGGAAATTTTTGATGGTTTACTCCTATAATTAGTGAGGAAACTCCTGAACTCAGTTGAGGCAAGTCAACATATATTTCAATACTGAACGATGTATCTGCTCGGACTTCTAAGAGCAGTTGAAATTAGATGAACACAATTCCCAATGAACAACAGTAATCACAGTCCGGTAGTTTTGCAGAAAATACTATCCACAAATCTATTGTGACATCGCGTATGTCTCTAATCTTCGCAACTGTGTTTTGGTATCTTTCAGCGTCAAGCTAGTGGACTCGGTTCTTATTTAATCGTGGCGTTGTTGTTCTCTCTGTTTTTTGTTGTTTTTGTAATTTTTGTTTTCGTTGCCGTTGTTCTTGTTCTTCTGTTGTTCGTGTTGTTTTCATTGTTTTCGTTGTTTTTGTTTTTTTTGTTTCCCTTGTTGCTTTCGTTGTTTTTGTTGTTTTTGTTATCTTCGTTGTTTTCGTCGTTTTCGTTGTTTTCGTTGATTTTGTTGTTGTCGTTGTTGTTTTCGTTGTTGTTATTGTATTTCCTAACTTCATTACATTTACTAAAGCTCTATTGTGTTATCTACTTAGTCATCAAGTTCATCATCTAGAACCTTTGTATACTACGACGATCTTCAGTTATATAAATATCGTCGTATGACTTACACTCGCATTGCCGCAATATCATCAGAATAAATCTGCGCGGATTTTTCCGGGTCCGAGAGCACCTGTAAACGACATGATTCATCAATTTTACAATCTCAAGAGTAAACCTCCTCGATTCCACTCTCCACAGGATCGGTCTTCCCGAGATAGTTTTGTATTCTTTTTCTAACCCTAGCAGCTACTATCACAGCCAGAAGGGAATCAGCGGACGTATTTTGTATCTGCAGAACACGCTTGAGCTATTATCACCAACTTCACTAGTAACAAGTTGTTGTGAAAAGCTGTGCTAGTGACAGCTATGCACACGAACAATTAGTTTTCATACACTTCTATTTCAAAATCAGTGTTGTGATCCTCATTATGAACTGAGGGAGTTCCTGTCCTCAGCTTGGAGTGGGACAATATGCACATGGTTCACCATATGTGTTAACACATTCCGAAAATTCTGAGGGAATTTTGGGAAATTTTTCCCTAGTTTTCTTTACTCTTGGAGAGAACTCTTAGTGAGAGAACTCTTAACTTTAGTGAGAGAACTCCTGAACTCAGCTCGGGAAAGCGAACATATATTCCTCCAACACTTGACAGTATGTGATCGATAGTGATACAGATTATAAGTCTCAAAGAATTTTCATTTATTCTCAATCAATGAAGTGTAAATCGTGTTACACGAAGTGGCGTAAATTACGCCGCGTAATACTCCATGTGAAACACGCGATATGAAGTGAATTGAAAATACTTGACGGGCTGACAATCTCATTTCGCGTAAGGCACTCCACGTGCTTTACGCGTAATTCTCCGTTCACATGCGTTTTTCGCAGAGTTAAACGTGAAATATGTCCTTCATATCGCAGGCTTCGAGATTCGAATGATCTTCAAGACTGTACCAGTCCGCCCCCCTTTCCAGAGGAATGTTTGAAGTCTCCACGCAAGCCTACAGCGGAGGCCAGTGCATCCATCACGACTACTTCCATATCAGTCAGGATCTGTTGACCAATAATATAGGGCAACAACCGCAAGCGTTATGGTCAATATCAATTTTCTTCGAGATCGAAAATTTGAGAATTTTTTTCGCAGCTATTTAGTTCATCAACTCGTCAAGTAGGATTGACGCATGAAGGGTTTGCTTTTTAAGGCGAGATGGCTCTCGAAAACTTGAAGACACTTCGGATGATTTTTTGTAGTGAATTTTGTGAGAAAATGTTACACACAAGTGTCTATCGTAACTTTTGGATTCTTGTGTTACTTGTCCCCCTTCCTACAGTGTGAACCAAACCGTTATGCGGAGTAATATTCTCAACTCCTCCAATTTTTGAGAGTTCGAAAGTCAACTTCAAGTGATACCAATCTGCTAACATTGTGAATCGATTGACACCAACACTTCAGAAACGTTCCTTAGTCCATATTCGCACTCTCGAATTGAAGAAAGCCATCTCGAAAATCTAGATCTGCATAACTGGTTGGTTCACACTGTAGGCAAGCGTATGCTTTATGATTACGGTATTGATTTTAAGCTGAGAATCTCGAGCTAACGACTCTAGTTGAACTCGAGCAAGCAGTATGAAACAGTCGAGTACTTACCGGGCAGGAAGCCCACTGTAGCCCAACAGCACCCATGCTGTTGATGATAGGCTCGGATAGAATCGCGGGCATGCCTACACATATATTCAGTGTGTGTCGATTTGATATGATGCAAATGTGTGTTATTTTCCGAGATTAATAAGAATCGATCTGAAACTATATCGCATAAACAATGTTAACATTGTTATGATCATGTGATGTGATAAATGTAATCTTTTGAGACTATGGTAGCGACAAGTTGCTCACTATCATTAATCCCAGAATAGAAAACACACATTCTTCACATTTGCAAATTCACACACAATGTATTTCGAGTAATACTCCGCAAGCCTAATACACTTACTCGTTTGGATGGTCCATGGTCCCTTCAACTTTTCGCTGTCGATACAAGGAATGATGTTCGTCTCGACCGTGGATAAAACTTCCGACCAGGTTCGGCCGAGACGAGGAAACACTCCTTACGACTTATGATAAATTGCGGATTAAACTCATACCATAATTCACCTAAATCTTCAAGACGGGCAATCGATCCGTGCGCGGCCACGCTTCGATCGAGTTCCTTCCTGGGCTCAACGAAGGATCTAAGAATGGCTTACAGTAGTGGGGGAATATATGTACATGGTCAACTACGCGTAGTGCGGGAATATATGTACATGGTCAACTACGCGTAGTGTGGGAACATGGTGTATTACGCGTATTGTAAAAAGCGAGTAAACTTTCGTTGAACGTTTTACACTTGAACGTGTGAATTTGCACCATAATTAGTGAGAAAATTCCTGAGCTCGGCTGGCGAAACCAAACAATGAGCCCGTAGTATTCTGCAGCAAACACTAGTAATTCTAATACTACTAGTAATCATTGAAACTTCTCAAGAACGGACACTGCCACACCATTTCAGCAGAGACGGACAGGCCGAACCTTTGCGAACCTGCGCCTCACATTCCAGGCGGTAGCAGTGTGAACCGCAAAGTAGTCGGTGATTGCAAACGTACTTGCGTTCGTGCAATGCGACTCGCGTTGAGATTAATACGTCAGTCTCGGGTGCATCTCGTGTGCCCAAAACTAACATCGTTGGTCGAATCAGTAAGTTCTTGCAATTTTATTAAAATTTTCGGAATTAATTGAAACCAATCGGTAAAAAACTAAGCAAAAATGGGCATTTTTTCCAAAAAATGGGTAAGTTATCAAAAATTTGGGCGAAAAATCAAGTTGACATGCAGTCGTTTTTGTTATTAAAACGTTTACCTGTGTAAGAAGCCAACAGTCTCCTTGCCGTGCCTCCTGATCTCATCCGTGCTCACCAACCTACTACGCATTTCCCAAGTGGAAAGTCAAACAACTCGAAATGATCATGTCGAAATACGGGGACGAAACCCAATATCGCCGATATCAGTGATATTGGGATGGCGTATAACATCACGATAACGAGTAACATAACTGCGTTCATGGTGATTCATGAACGCGAGTACCATCACAAAGTAACGATGCGATCACTCTATCGTCCAATAGTTGTGTGCTGTGGAATCCGTCTGCCCAATCTGTCCCTACTGGCTATGGCTGGTAGGAGGTTGTACTGTTGCTGTTGGAGTAACGCTCTGGCTAGTGCTATAAGTCTGTGCCAACGGGATCTGTGGTGTCGAACAGCAGCCCAACAGGTGATGATCAAATGGTTATCAACTAATAGCATTTCACATTAGCAAAATAGCACAGACAACCTGAAGAATCTAGAGACTGCATTGAAAGGTCAGCAGTAAAGCAGTGTTAGAACGGGGTTGACTAGTATCATCATTTCAAGTCTTGTAATGATGATACTAGGTAAACCCGTTCTAGGGGTCCAAGAGGATGGACTATTATCATCAACAGCATAGTCATGTCCTTCATTATCATACATACCAACACAATTCTGTCGATGATATTAGGAGAGGAGAAAATTAATCGGGATTACTGGACTTTAACATTGCACTAAGTAACAACAGTGCGAGCCTGGTCAGTCTATGAGGACGTGTGTGAAACTCTATATTGGAATATGCTGGTGCATCATCATTATCGCTGTCCCAATACCTCGTAGCTCTCGAGTGAAGGAACGCCCTAGCTAAGCTTATGATGATGATAGTCTACATCGATTGAGTGAACATCGTAAAGGCATTATTATACTAAATAAATTGATATCGTATTTAAAAGATATTACTAGTAATATGATATTTTGATAATGTATTATAAAATGGAGGCAATAAGGGGTATACGATAACCCATCAACAGGGTATTATCATATGATTCCCTGCAGTTATATCCAGGGTGGTGTTATCTCAATGGGCAAAGCAGTAACACTATTCTGTTTGAGAATATTTCCTATCTATTCCTGACATTTTTCAGTATGCCATCATTACCAGACTATCTCGATGACGCCACACTACCGTTTGGCGTCGGAGATCCACTCATCATGCACGTCACATGGATGACTGCTGAGTGACAGTAACATTCTGAAATTTGATTCCTAGGCAAGTTGGAAAAACCAGAGTTTCTCGTCAAATATTCGGGTCCTTGGACTCAAACCTCCATAAGATCTACATGAACTGATATCTTTCGAGTGGAAAACTAAATCATACACGTTTGAAGAGACGTCGGCAAGGTTCGAGTAAGAAGCAGCGTGAGTACGGGTACGTGAAGATGCATCCACTTGCTCTATGCCGTGGCTTCGCACATCTGAGGCAGTGTTGCCGATGCTCTGCCAGAACTCCATGTTCACACCCTTGTCCACAAAGGAAACACCAGTTTAGGAAAGCCATTCTCACCATTAGAGTTATGGGGATGAGAGTCCCATCACCATAAGTCTAATGGTGTTTCACGCTCATCGTTGTCGCCACTAGAGGTTCACAAGGCTGAGTCGGCCATAGGGTGGTAGAAGATTAGTAGTACTAATTTAGTGCAGAATACAAGCCTGCATCAGTAGTGAGATTACGATATACTCTTGATGAACATACTTAGCAGCACTAATGAGTCTTGCCATGAGACCGTTATGAAGATACACGAAACAGTGGAGACAATGTAAGAAATGGTGTATCCAGCGGAGCGGTGTTTACTATCATCATTATCATTTACACGCCGTCGGCACAAAGATCGGTACGAGTACGCGTTTCCCGCTTAAGGGTGGGAGTGTACCGCATTCCACCAAATTCAGCATCGGCTAAGTTTGGCGAAATCTGAGTCTTTTCAACTCAGTCTCAACGACCATCACCGCCATTTGAAAGATATCGATCACGCGGGCGCGCGCGAAGTTAAAACCTACTATTCCCAGATTGGTGTCAACGGTTATTTTTCATATGGCTTCGAATATCTTTCGTAAATTCCAAGAAGTCGTGAAAAACGGCACTCCACTTCAATACGTGGGTGGTGGTATCAATAGTAGCAGCAGTAGTAATTCTAATACGAGAAGAACTAGGACCGGTCAGCAAAGTGCCGAGAGTAGCCTTTCCTTTATTGGTAACTACCTTGCTGGGTGGAAGACTATCGAGGTGATGTCGTGTTGGAGGCTCCCTCAGCTGAGCTTAGGAGTTCATATACGAAGTCTGGTAGAAGTGTGCAGAGAATTTGCTAAAATTTTCCTCTCAGAATTTTTATATTGTCACCAACACACGTAGTTAACCATGTGCATATATTCCTACACTGATGAACTGATTTCCGAAATTCAAAAAATTTGAAATTTTCTGCACTGTGCATAGGAAACGAAATTTCCAATGTATTTACAATTACGAAAATTCAATTTTCAAAATTTCGAATTTCTCATGTACATTTCGACACGTATCATCCTAGTATATGTACATGTTTATTTGAGTTTCACCCGTTTTACGCGAAGTGGCGTGAAACTCCGTGAAAAACGCGATATTCGCGCTTTGCAGTAGTCGTGATATAAGTTTCTCACTAGTGTGAAACTCCATTATATGCATAAATTCCAACCTGGCATATTACACTGTAGATACTCCTGAACGGTTCGTCTCGTCGGAATGCGACAGTTCTCATGGAGCACGTTGAAAATCAGAGAAAAACCGTGGGCATGAATCCTCTGGGTTTGATACGCCTTCAAAGCTGGGATGATTTCTTTGGTAGTACTTTGATATGAAAAACACTAGTGAAGAACATTTCTCACGACTACTGCATATCACCGCGAATAACGCGGTTATTGTGAAACTCCAATATAATATTCGATATAGGTTGCTATTGTACGGATTTGAAATCTCACCAATGGTGTTTTGATAACTCAGTCTCCGCTCGTCACGATGGTTCGACTCGAAATTAACACGTGTTGAAAGTCCACGTTTAAAATGAGGTTTCGGCCAGTCGTATTTGGTGTTGGAATATATGTTCGCTTTTCTCACTTATTATAGGGGTTTATATACGAAGTGGGAAAGGGAAAGTACAGAAACCAATGAGAATTTCCCGAAATTTCCTCAAAAATTTCACAGCGTCGGCAGTTGGTCATGTGCATATTTTCCTACTCTGGTTGTGTTGGTGATGGATTCGTTGGACTTTCAAAACCCGTTTTACTTGGCGTAAAACTTGGCGATATTCGCGGCCTGTAGTAGTCGTTAAATATGTTTTTCACTAGTGTTTTTCATATCACTAGGGTGGTGACACTCCATTGATACAGGTGTCACAGCGTGATCGTGGAATTCGCTTCCTTGCAGCTCTCAGAAGTATCATATTTTCTCATCTCCTTAGGTCAGTTCAGGTGGCCCGACCACCTCAGTGATCGTTTCGAATCAAACATGATTCAATACGGGTAGTAGGAAGTACTCGTGTTGCAGGAATATATGTTCGCTTTCCTCAGCTGAGTTTGGGAGTTTCTAGAGCTACATTATAGGAGTTTATATACGAATTCGATGAGAAGTTTCTGACTTGTTTGCTGATATACGTTCGCTTTCCTCAGCTGAGTTTAGAAGTTTCCCCTCTAGTTTTAAATGTCTATGACTTTGAAAAGACAGTAATTATTAGTAGTAGTACTTTTACTACTAAAAACATACTTGAAAACATATTTACATGCATAACGGTTTGGTTCGTACTGCATATTGGCAGTCGGTCCAGAGTGCCTTCAGGTGGAATTACGTCCTACTTGCGTATGGTGTGGTAGCATTTTTAGCATCATTTAAAGCGGCAGGGCTTTATATGAATATACTTGCGATTGCTCAAGTCCTGGTAAGATATGATGATGATGGTGACCAGGAACCCATTTAGCTTTGAGAAATAACGTCCCTCAGGATTTGATAACAATGGGAAAAATGATGTTTCTAATGTGGTGAAACTCACATGGGAAACTGCCATTTACAAAATTAAAAATGACTTCCCTCCCAGGTTTTTGGATCTTCACGATGCTGGTGATTCATCAGGCGCTCGCTATCCCTTATCACGACAGTCGCAATCCGGCTCATGATGCTGATTTAGCATATTACTCTCTATGGGCAGTAAGTGGGTGAATTATTCACGTTTGCGGAATTTTTCGCCCGTGTTTTTTCAGTTCATGGTGATACATCTTCTACTGTGGTATCAGTTCTTGACACTGTTATCATCCAATCCACTGTATTGTAGCCTAGTTGTGGTATTAATAACCGCTCATGCGAGTTTTCGGACCAGGGAATGGTCACGGCTTGTGAAGGACACTATTAGGAAACGCAACGGGCAAGTAAGGAAAACGATGTTGGAATAATTATGTTGGTTTTTTGTAATTTTCTATTTTTTATTTTTTCCTGTTCGACTGAGTTTAAGAGTTTACTAAGTAATTAATAAGAGTAGGAATGTGCATGAAGTAATTCTGAAAGTTTCATATTGTCACTGTAGTTGACCATAGTGCATATTTTTCCACACTGATAAAGGGCTCGTACACGCCACTGCTGAAATATATGTTCGGTTTCCTCAGCTGAGCTCAGGAGTTTCCAAAGCTACATTATGTGAGTTTATATACGAATTAGGGTAGAGGTGTGCAGAAACCAATAAGAATTTCTCTCAGAATCTTCATATTGTCACTAACAAACGTAGTTGACCATGTGTATATTTTCCCAGAAGTTAATCGTCTGCACGTTCGATTGGTTGTTGAGTATGAGAGTGTTAACGATGATTCTAGTTATCGAATTTGGTCGTGAACGCCGTAGTCGGGAATCATCGCAAACAGTGTTGGAATATATGTTTGCTTTCCTCAGCTGCTGAGCTCAGTAGTTACCTCACTAATCATAGGAATTTATATATAAATTCGGGTAGAAATGTACAGAAGTCGCGAATAATATCCCAAAATTTTTTTCACAGTTTTGATATTGTTACTAACAGATGAGGTTTACCATGTGCAAAATCCACCACGCTGTGGAAGTTGGTCCATTTTGTCTCAGGCGAGCACAGCTGAGCGACGCCGCAGACAAGGGCAGAATTACGGGGAGTCGCCGATGGAATAGTTGAGTGATTTTTGTATACCAAACTATTGTTGAATTTCCTGCTTGAAAATGACGATGAAGTTGACCATTGCTGCTAAGACTTTTCGTGTGTTGTCTGAGAGTATTTGTGTAGATAATGTGGAAGCGGAATGGTAAGGAATAAATGTTTAGTGAGAAGATCTGTGATATGTTTATTTTTTCGCTTCTTATGGATACCTATTTGATTGTTGTTGACTTTCAGCGTATCATCGTTGTAGTTATTTTCGTCAACATGAAATGAACATGACAGACTCTAACCCTTCTAATAAGCATTTATAGTTTTATTAATACTATGTAGATAAAATACTATTAATAACAATGGAGTTTCACCCTAGTAACATGAAAAACACCAGTGAAAAACATATTTCACGACTACTGCATATCACCGCGAATATCGCATTTTTCACGGAGTTTTACGCCACTCCACGTAAAACGGGTTGTGAAACTCCAATATACGATCTTGAGAGTTTTCTGTTTGCTGAAGTTTTTGTAGGAAATAAAAAAACGAAATTTGAAATTTTCCGTTCATCAGTTGATAAATTTCCGACTTCTCTTCCCTCGCTTGAAAGGGAGGTATCTACGCAACATGAGCCGTGATGGTTCGTTTGCTGCTGCTTCTGCTGGTGGTCGAGGGACCTTCAGTGGAAGATATATCGATCAGAATGGCGAGCGCTATCGGAAGAACTCAGGGAAAGAGGTAAATCAAAGAGGATCCTCAGTTTTTGTGGGCACTATGATGACTTTCAAGTGTCCTGGCTAGTGTTGGAGGAATATATGTTCGCTCTCCTCAGCTGAGTTTCCTCGCTAATTATGGGAGTTTATATACGAATTTGGGTAGAAGTGTTCAGAAAATGACATGTAGTTGTTTATGTGTAAATTTTCTCACACAGTTGCTGACTTATTTACTACTAGTAAATTCTCAACAATTTCAGGTCGAAAGTCACGTCGCGTATTGCGATGACGATGATGATTGTAGAAGTCTGAGTTACAGTAGCAGTGAAGCTGGGAGTAGCGAAGAGGCATCATCCTTGGAGGCTGAGAGAAGGTTAGTTCGGCTCACGTGTTATTGGCTAACACAACAGATATGCTTTTGAAAATGTGTAGTTCTAACACATCATACGATGGTAGCTTGAAAATTAAAAAATGCAAAAAAATGCAAAAAACTGCAAAAAATGAGAAAAAATGGAAGAAGCATGCCAAAAATGTGCCAATAATAGGTGAAATCACAGAAATAATTACACTGTGATTAATGCAATTTTCTTAGAACCTGTGATTTTGCAATATCACGTGTTGTGTAATAGTTTTGGCAGTAACGGTAGATAGTTTGGAAATTTATCTGATAAAATTGACACAATTTTGGTTGTTCTATTTTCAAGAGTTATAAGCGTACATGTCCTTTGGTCAGGCCTGTGAGCTGTCGGGTCCCGGCACGTCATCATGAGGCACCTCCGAGTGTTGATCATCTACAGCATGCTAGAAATAGAGTACAAGGAGAAGTTGCTTATCGTGCGCGGTGTCGCAGGGATATTCTGAGTAGGATCAAATTCGAAGACGCATTTTACTCACGGTTGCATTGGGGGGGGCCTCTGTGACGATCTAGTAGTTACCTCTGTACATGTGACGTGATGATGTAGAGTGTCATGTGCAATTGTAGAATATCTAGATGTCAATCGGTCCCGTTATCGTCATATTTTTATAGGAGTGCTGACATAATCGTTCGCCCGAAAAAGTGCGCTAAAACGTTTAAACGGCTAGCTTGACCAGCTCACATTCCGTTTTCTATATTTTGTATTCAGGCAGTGTTGGAATTAATGTTCACTTTCGTCAGCTAGTCCTGAAATTTCCTCACTAGTCATCATACAGATTCCGTTACAAATGTACAGAAACCAATGAAAATTTTCTCAATATTCCTCAGAATTTCCGCAAATGTCACCTACACATGAAGTTGAGCATGTGCATATTTTCCCACACCATTTTCAATTCAACTTCATGGTTTAATATTCTCCATTTTGTTCACGGGTGTATCGTGCAATGTGCGAACCGTATGCGATGTAAGCCAGCCGGTAGCCGACTCGCTAGGGGGTGTATGAAAATCCATGCACTTCTTCTTGCACTTTGGAATCGTCTCGTCTCGCGCCCATCATGGGACTTCCTATTGCTCCACACATCTCAGACAAGTATGCTGATCTCCTGAGGGTTGGTGAGCTGTGGATCAACGGTGAACCAACGAGATGGCGGACTAAAGGATACGGCAAAGAGGTGAGGGAGGGGTCTGTGATGCAAGTAGCGCGCGCCCAGATAATCGATTTTATTTGGAAGGGACTGCCTGAATTAAATGCTAATCGATTCAGTGATTTACACGAGTTGAGGAATTGTTTTCTGTCAGGCATGGTTCGATAATTTCGAGTTGGCCTTCCGAGCGCGACTGCGGCAACTGGAGCGTTCGGGCCTGGTGCCTCCCTGTGACCTTGCCAGTGAGATCACTTTAGTGTACTGGGTAGGAAGCTTGTGTTGATCCGTTGGATTCTGTAGCGTTGTTCTGTAGGTTTGTAAGTTGACTTCGATAAATTATTGCCTATGGGAGATTTGCTCCTACATACAGCAGTCGCTGGAGAAATCACGTAAGTTATGGTTGTTGTCGAGTAGTAGTCTTAGTTCCGCTATATATTTTTTACATTCGCGGTCGCCATTTTAATCGATTTTATCGGTTCATGATAACAACCCGAATAGCCTTGCGGCGCATGACAACTCTCGGCGCGCTAGCATATTAGGGCAGGCGGAGTGGTAATCACATACTCTCCGCTGCTCGGTAGTCACCTCACTACATCATTTCAAGAGCAATTCAGTGAAAGTCCAGACCAATGCTATACTGCTTAGGAAAAGCGTAGCTTCTCCGTGGTTAAAACCGCGCCAGAGAGTTGTCTTTCGGCAAAGCCTGGTTCGGGAAAGCGATTGTCAATCGCCCATTAACACAATCGCTGCCGGCACAGGGGGACAACCCGAGTCTTTCAAGCTGCCAAGCTAGTCACACAAGCCAGACTGTCTTGACAACCTGGAGTAGTGTATATGTTAAGCGTGATATTTTTTTAACCGAGGTCTCCGATGTAGGTCCTAGGAGCACTCCAGGTAGCGAGCTTCAGTGTCTTACGACAGAAGCTTACTATCTTGAGTGTCCTCAGTGTACCTTGCGTGTCATCCTCCGCAGTGTACAGATGGCACTCGAGAGAGTCGACACGCGCCCTGCCACAACTCGGAGGCGAGAGGTTTCAAAGTTCAGATCAATAAAAAAGTAACACTGAACGAAGTATATAATTTTTTACGGGAATCGACATTGCTCACATCGTGTGTGCTATACGATGAAGTGGTGGTGGAGTAGTGCATCATTGAAGCTCCAATGACCATATCTTCCATGACTAAGCTACTCGGTATGAAGTTCTCATATGGTTGAAGCATTACATGCATATTGCCATAAGTCGTATACTTTTGTTGTTCTCATTTTGATGGGAACAACTGCGGTGATTGCTGCTAGGAGATTGTGGGAACTCAACAAGATAACTCGAGCCATATGGCTACAGATACCTCTCCTCTAGTGCGCAAAGACTATAGAAGTACCCAAAGCAACTACACCGAAAGATTAGCTTTGAGACTAAATGCGCATGCCCAAAAGCGCTCGCGTATAGAGCAACATATCTGAGCAACTTATAACAACGGCCACATAAGAAGTGTTGAAGATTAGCTTTGCAGAGTAGCAGTATGTTCAGATGCTGCAACATAGACACTATCCCGACTAGACACTTCATACGATACACTTTTGAATGAAAAGTCGCAACTCTCGGGGGTCGTCGTGTTTCATCTTTTTCATTATCAGGTATGGTCATTTTGGAGACTTTCGATTCGTCAAATCCTACCTTATCGATTCTAGAGTATTCTCTCACTCTTGTTGGTGCTGCTACTGGCACTATATGCATGCGATGGACGAAGGACAATAATATTATGTACCACGAACACTTGCACTCTCATGCTGCAATACCTCTATCATAGGTATGTCAATCGACACGGTCAGCGCAGGTGTAAAGGCACGATGAAAACGATTGAAACTCAAGTACCTTTGAGATTGCTCAGCGACCCAGAAGTTGAGAATTTCCGCCCCATATACGACGTTGTAAGCCTCTACTTTTTTCCATAGCTGTGCCGATGCATTTTTGGACAGTGGAGTTGTCAGAACTTTCTCATGCTGCAAGTGATAATCTGACGATATTATCATAGTGTCAATTAAATGCCCTAATTCTATAGTGAGATGTATACGGCGTAGTAGTTTATGTGAGGTTCTAGTGATAACATGCTCGTGATGAAGGACAGAGCCTCGAGTATGTTATTGTCAGGACATGGAGCTCATAGTGCCTCGAAGCATTGGTGACAGAATAGTCGGCCGGCTCAGTTGTTTTAATAGAGGCCTAGACAGATGTAAGAATTCACTTAATAGTTGCCTACAAATCTACCAGTTACGGATTCATCGTCGCTGGTCTCGGCAGTGGAACCGTTGATGCCACGTGGAAGCTCGAATCTAAGGCAGATTAGCTATCCTCCTGCTGCTCCGCTGTTCGCAGAGGGGGAGGAGGTATATTTCACTCTCATCTCAAATCGTTATGTCCTTCTTTAGACCTCCGCTGGTCGACGACGATCGTCTCGACATGGCCATGCATACACTGCGGAGTAGGAATTAAGCGAGTTGTGGTGAGATGGAAATTATCTGACTATCAGGGCTCAACAGCTCTCAACCACCAATGACAATGAAATTGACGCCGAAATCCGATCAAGGAGAAGAGCCAGTGCGCAACATCGCCTTGACGAGCTGAGCCAGTAGGTTACCACTCAGTGTCGGCTGATCCCTGGATGGGTCTTCTTGAGGTACCGGAGGTATATAAGAACGTCATCTGGTTACCTAGTAGAGGAGGCATTGCCGTTCAACTCTCGGGAGTCGTCTAGGTCTCCAGTGAATAGTGGGAGGCGGAGCGCTGGTAGTGATGATAGTTTTCTTGGACCACAGACACCCAGAGACAGGTGAGAACTCAGTTCCGCTTCGCATGAAGTGGCAAGAATTAGAATACATTTAGGGTGGCTGAACCCTGAATGATTGAGAAAGGGGGGGAAGTCCGTGATTTCATCTCGCCTTTGGATTCTTTCCTATCCGTAACATCGTTTTGGTATTCTCCATTGCGCTCGCATTGTCGGCCTTATGAACTGCAGATATGCTCGTACGGGTTCGCAACAGTCGATACCGGGCGAGTTCGATGACCCGGGCGGCGGTAGGGGTGACACATTCCGTAACCATTCTCGGAATCGAGAATCTGTGTCCAAGCATAAGATAAAAACCCCGGATACGGGCTCGACGGTTACGAGTAAGAAGTCCGTGGCATTTGCTCCAGACGGTGAGTCGGCATTCGTTCCTTCCGAAACTTCATGGGTGACTTTCTGTCAGAGCGCAACGCTGAAGAACAACGGGTGGAGGCCCAACGACGCCTTGCCCAACTTCAGCAATATCGACGGTATGTTCCGAGTGCACACTGTAAAGGGGTTAGTATAGTGGCTCTTCCTAGGTACATCGGGAATCAGCCCGCGGAGTCGAGCAATCCCGAGATGTTCGATGAGCCGCCGTCACGTATACCACCTTCCTGGTGACCTTGTTAACTGTTTTATACGATTCCATATTTTTCACGTTATACCTTTTTTCTTGTCTCTTGAGGCTCGTCACCTGGTGACTACAGTAAGTAGTTTGCCTAAAATCTATGATTCATTCTCTGGGTGGAGCGGTAGTGACGTCGCGTTGTATCAGTAATCAGAGGGTGACCCCATCATGATCATTCCTTCCATGTCGAGTTGGTGGGTCATCAAGCTATGGCCGTGATGGAACCGTTCAAGTTCGAATAGTAATGTCACATTATCAATGTGCTCTTCGCGTCGAAAACGTATGATCACTTCTATAGACGCAGATGGAAGAGCGTGAAGCCGCAACCAGCCTCTACGGGTGCCCCCTTTGATGGAGATGCACTTGTTAATCGCGAAATGGTGTTGAACGCGATATGGTAATCGTGGAAAGCACGAACTGGTAATGGGCTTAATCACTCCGCGAAAAAACGCTACTGAAGGTCGCCTCCCAAACACTCCCGAACACTACGGATCCTGTACCGCGTTATATCACATTGCGTGAGACGTTTACCTTTTTTCTCGCGATTCCCCGCGGAGTGAAGTTCACGATGTGGCTATCGCTAACGTTTTCCACTTCGTGGGTACATCTCCAATATACCACATAAGATCGCTATCATCAAGCGTCTATGACTTCGGTCGGCAGACCGTGAATTGCCGAAGCGAGAACAACACGTTTTACGGTAGTCTCCTCAGACGCGAATCTGTTGGAGTCGCCTCAGAGTGAACTCCTTCATGTAACTGGGACAGGCTTCCATCAAGCTCATCGCGGCCAAGAGGCGAGACCAAGAGATTGCTGCATCATTGACGTCATCGTGACGACCCGAAGATGCGGGCGCGATTGTTTCCCTACGGAAGACCAAGACCGCGACTACCACCGTATCCATCATACGGGTCGCGGATTTGGTGCACTAGGGTCTCGTATTTTGGGTTACTAACCCAGGGTTAGACTTCGGAGTTCAACCGTAGCCATTCGAGCTCTGGTCAGTCCAGGCTACACTATATAGTCTGGAGTAGCACCGGATGCCAGGGAGCAGGTCTACCTCCAGCGCCGCTTGACCAGGGGGAATAGTCTTGAAGAAAGAAGTACCTGTATTTCAGCAGCCATGTTCTTTTCTATTTTCATTACGACTTTAGGTCTAGGCCCTCAGCCAGGCTGAGTCAGTCTGGGCCTCAGGCCCAGGGATTCATGATTGGGTGGAGAACACTGCAGTGTCTCCCCAATGAGTTTGCGCTTCGACAATAATGTTGGCAATCACTCTGCCGTGTGTCGGGTACTGTACTGGATGAGATCAGGGATGAGACTCTTCGACAAGAAGGATGCCCATGTCCCACTTTCAAGGAGCGCTCAGCAATCCTCCCAGAAGTGGATTGGTGCGACGACAACCAAGCACGATCCGTATAGGGACGGGCTGACGGACGCAAGGGGGAAATAGAGAAGGATAAAAAGGCAGCGACAAGGAAGAGATGAGTATGCTCTACACTAGCGACGACACACTTTGAAGCAATCGTATGTGGAGCAGCTCTACACGAGTGACGGCACACTTTGGAGCAATCGTGTGTGGACTGATGTCAATACCTAGACGGTGCAAAGGTCCAAATGTCTTTCAGACCACTCGCGGCTGCCGGTCGGTGATTGGGGAAACATCTTTTTGACTCCCATCACGGACGCGATGCAGGTACAATCTGACTCGGATATAAAGTTATACATTATCCCAAGCAGGCCTCTGGCAGCCCATAGGGTTTTCACTCCAACCTCCGAGCATCCTTCTGGAGTGGGTCATCGAAGGATATTTCCATAGGACATTTTCTGCTGATCCTGAACGAACCTCTCGCAACAGCTGATCGTCACAACAGCTCAAGAGGCTTGAGCGATACGATCCTCTGTGGCTCGATTCAAGCGGAACCCGAAACGAATCGATCGAGTCAAGCGACATTTGGCCTTTGGATGAAACTAGCAGCGCAACTCTCTAGAGGCAAGTGAACATCGATAGACACCTTTACAAAGAGCAACATGCACTGTCGCCCATTGAGATTGATACAACATTCATGTATCGATAGCACCAGAATGAGCCGTACCGATACTGCCGGTTTTGGACACACATCAACCAATCATGGAAAGATGGTTACATCAGAGCACACTCTATACAACCAGCGCGCGAAATCCTAGGCTGCTTGGATGTTCGCGCCCTTCGAGTTCGCCCCAGGCCTTTGTCATGAGCAGAACGACTAACACGGGGTACAACAGTGTGGTCACGTTTTATCTGTAGGTCGGACCGGTTCTTGTCGCGGGGCGGGTCGCAGCCGTGCGTCATCACAGATGAGCCCCTCGCGGATCCTGGACAGGGAAGTGTTTCAGCGGCTTTCCGAGTTGATGAACGCGGCACCGAGGTGGGCTGCCTAACGTTGTTTGGAGTGATAAAGAGCGTCTTGTTGTCCAAGTTGATGTACGTGTAGTAGGCACGAAAGAATGGGTGTCCGAGGCAGAGAAGCGTGTCCGAAGTCACGAACATATCCAACGTACATCTGTCCACAGAGCATCCCCGAACGTAATGCTTCGGAGAGATCCTAACACTTATGAGTTCTGCACCAGAGTCGTCCATCAACTCGGACTCCAGTACAGGAAGTTGCTTTATAGCTCGTGCATCGACCAATACATAATCCAAGTCGTCCTTCCATAAAGGCTCAACCACTGGGTTCCCTTCTTGCTGCATCCTGTCTCTCATCCCGCTGGACATCAGTTCGTACTCCTCATTTGTGAGGGCCAATGCAGCTGTTCCTGTATCCACCAGGACGGGCGTGACCTCATGGGGAAGATTCGAAAAGTTCCTGCTAGAGCCTCTCTTATGAAGCTGGCTTCGGCGATCGACTGGCTTCAGCGTGGACCGCAAAACAATGACACAACTGTAGCAATACGTCGGATGTGTTGCGAACTTCACTGGAGAGAGTTCTGCCAGACTCCGTGGACTATTGCCAAGAAACAGTCTACCATTCAACAAACTCTCCGTTTCGCTCGCTTCAATCGCTACAGAGACTTCCTTGATGACTTCAAGCATCTTCAGCTGGTCCAACATGGAAGGATATTCCCTGTTGCCAAGAGCTAAGCCTAAGATGCCCAGGGGTTGCCTTTTCAATATAGGGCTCAGGAAACTGATAATTAGATCGAATCTCACTTCTATGTCACTCACATTGCCGATGGAGAGTGTTCCTGTATGGCTGACGTACTCTATAATATCTCCATCATGAAATTCAACTGTGTTCCGAGGGCGTTCGAGTATATCATCACAAGGATGCGTTGGGGGACAGAAGTAGCATCCTGTTTCGAGCTCGCGGCACGCTCCCACACCGTTCGAGTTCTCGTAGGCCTCACCCGACATGACCAACCAGTAAGGTGCTGCTGAATCGAGGTATAACTTGACGGTGTGCCCATCAAGGGTAATCGGCACGCGGTTGTTGATGATGTCCAAGTGTAGCGGAGCCGCTACTCCTTGGGCGATGAGGCAGGCGAGATGCGACAAGTACACGCATGACTTCATGTTGAAGATAACTGAATTATTTCTAACGAAGGACAAGCATGAGTCCGTCTCATTCAAGAGGAGCCTTCTCAGGAGGGTTGGAACCCACTCAACATGTCCATGCCATGATGTCCGTACCGTGGTAGGACATGGAAATATTCTCAACATCGGATTCGCTGAGAATATTAAAGCCGATGTTAGGATGGTAATTTTCAGTTTGAACATTAACAATGCCACACTGAGTGTAGTATCAATGTGAGAAATTTGCGCTTGTTATCGAACAGAGTCCATCCCGAACAAACACCTATAGTCCTTCGACCATAGAAGTAGGCCTGCACTTAGATAGAGTTCATTGCGCATGAGTTCAGGCGGAGAAGAGCATCTTGATGAGTCGGAATTAGCCACCGCTCGAAAAGGGGGCAATGAACCTCGCTCGTCCTGGAAATGCATTTTGTCACCCTTTGGCATGACTTTCCTCATTTTTCACACCAATTTTCCCCATCTTTCTGAACTTCCATGTTTGTTTTTTTATACAGCGAGTTTAAGCTATGGGTGGCGGCATATGTGACGTGTGTCCGCGTCGTAAGACGCGCGTACGCCATCCATTATTCCTTGAGATGATCCGGCTTCAGGAGGCAAAAGCTCCTATTGAATAGGACCTATTCGCTTGTCTTCATATTTCCGTAGAGCTAGCGGACCGTATTCATTGTTGTAGTCCTTGTCCTGATGAGCGGTATTGGCCCTTCTTCTACAAGTTGTAGGCTACAACCCATCAACCTACATTGGAAACTTGAGCGGACTTGAGTTCAGAGTCACGGATGACAGAATTTAGAAAGCTGGCCGACAACTTCTCCGAGGCTCGCGCTAATCGTGATGTTTTGGCTACTCTCGACTTGAATAACTTGATGCCGGATGACTTCTGATGACACTTTGATTGACAAGACCATCACTGGCTTCGAAGCTCTGAAGGCCCGCAACACAAACGTTCACTCTGGCTGGCCAAGACCTGGGTCAGCATCCTTGGCGAAATTGTATATACTATCAGTGAAATTGTTATCCGCCTTTCGTCGAAATTTAACTTCAGGAGTGCCGGCGAAATTGATCTTTCAATCGAGTCCGCCGTCGAAATTGATCTTACTAAGGCATATCTTAGCGCGGATGATCGGTCACCCTGCGGAATGGATCTTACTTCACGCGGAGTAGGCCTTTAAAAGGTGCACGAAAGACTCCAATCGAGCAACAGTGGATCGTATCGCTCGAGTCTCAAATTTTGAGATTGATGCAGCATCCATGGACGAAAATCAATAGCACCAGAATGAGTTTTGAGGCATAGCCTATGCCGTACCGTACCGTCGGTACCGTACCGAACAAACGATGCTGGACAGATGCAGCCCGCGCGTGAGGGTCCAGGCAGCCAGGCTGCCTGGAGCCTTGTGACCTCCGAGTTCGCCCCAGGCCTTCGTCATGGGCCTTACTTGTACAGGGTACAACACTATGGTCTCGTCTTCTCTGTAGATCGAACCGGTCTTAGTCGTAAGAATCTCATAGTGGAATGAACCACAGCGTGCGTCACCAAACTCTGGTGTCCAGAGATGGGCGCCTCACTGTTGCCGGGCAGGAAAGTGTTCCAACGGCGTTCCGAGTTGATAAACGCAGGACTGAGGTGACTGCCTTGCATTGTCCCGAAATTCGGGACATTCGGGTTAATATTAACAATCAATGTTAAAAAGCATCTCATTGTTCAAGTTGAAGTACGTATAGTAGACCGAAAGAATGGATGTTCGACGCAGAGAGCCTTGCTTGAAATCGGGGTCAGGTCCAAGTTGGACCGTCCAACGCACATCCGCTCTGATTCAGAACCTCTGAACGCACCGGAGGAGGCTTGCCTGAACGTAATGCTTCGGGGAGACTCTACCACTTGTGAGTTCTGCACCAGAGTCGCCCATCAAGTCGAATCCCAGCACAGGAAGATGCTTGAAAGCTTGTGCATCGAACCACGCCAAACTCTTTGCACCCACCCATAGAGGCTCAGCCTGAGCCTCTATGGGCGGGTGCAAAGAGTTTCAAACTCTGCCTGAGCCGCTCAGGCAATGGGTTGAGCCCATCGGGCTCCCTTCTTCCTGCGTCCTTCATTTCGCTGAGCGAAATTCGCTCAACATCAGTTCGTACTCCTCATTTGTGAGGGCACTAAGCACGGTTTTGGAAGCAGTGCTTTGAAACTTTCAAATTGAAAGCGCTCCCTCTGTTATCCACCATGTCGAGCGTGAACTGTCGGGGGAGTTCCTGGTAGAACTTTTCTCAAGAAGCTGGCTTCGTCGATCGACTGGCTTCAGCTCGAACCTTAGTGGCAATACGTTGGATGTGTTGTGAACTCCACTGGAGAAAGTTCTGCCAGACCCCGTGGACTGTTGCCAAGAAACAGTCTACCATTCAACAAACTCTCCGTTTCACTCGCTTCAATCGCTACAGAGACTTCCTTGAGGACTTCAAGCATCTTCAGCTGGTTCAACATGGAAGGATGTTTCCTGTTACCTAGAGCCACTCCCAAGATGCTCACGGGCGGCTTTCTCCGTAACGGACTCGGTAAACTGATAATTAGACTAAATTTCACTTTGATGTCACTCACATTGACTCAGAGTGATATTAGCCATTAGCTCTGCTAGTAGCAGACTGCCACCGGCCCTTTAATAGTAAGTTACTATTCTTTTGATATGTGTTAGCTTCCTATTGCTGTATGTCTCTCTGGTCTTTCGTAGTTGTATAGGTTATATTATAGCATGATTTGCAGGAGTTATTCCGCGTTGTATTGATGAAGATGTGTTCTAGCCAACTTCTAGTAACAGTAGCTAAAAAACCCGCCATAAACCGTAAATCGCATCCGTAACCGTGAAGTTGAGCTCTGCGTGGCAGAAGTGGCGTCTAAACGAGCCAAGCGGCAAGAATATGGGCGACAAGCCACGCACTGAACTGAATGAGAACACAATAGCCTGAGTGGTGCGATAAGTCGCACAAATTCAAGCTAGTAAAGCTATTGTGGATAATACTTAAGACCAAATATATCAAGTGATATACATATTTTTTTGCTCGAGTAGAGGAGCACTATAATAACACCTAGGTGTTACTTATAGTGACTGAGCACTTGCCGGCTGAGGATCTTCCTCAACTGACAAGCACTGCGATGTATACCAACCCTCTCTACTCTTCAGCCACTCTCTACCATCTGTCTTGAAGTAAGACTCTAATCTAATGCTCAATAATGACGTGGTGTTGAGTTCCAAAGTCTCCAAGACTAAACATTCTCCACTGTATGCTGCAAGAGAGTTTAATTGAAATATTTCACGACTCGTTACTCGTAACGGAATTCGTAATTTACGTCGATTTTGCCCATCTATAACACTGAGTACGCGTAAACTCCAGTGTACGTAAACACGCGCACATAAGAGCTTCTGGCTTTACTCTGACATCTTTTTTCGCGTCCCCGCCTTCCATCCGAATAGCACGGACCAATCAACATATCGTGTATTTCTCTATTCGAACATAGTCGCCGGAGACAGTCGCGGCAGTGGATGCTCGGCTATGCGCTGAGTTCTGTCTCGGCGGAGTCGTTGCGCTTTCCGAGAGAAAATGCGTTCTGGACGAGCTCGGTATAGTTGCGGATATGGTGATTCCCTATGACGATTCATGTCGCTCCGCTGAGCGTATCTTGTATCTCGCTCATCCTGTGGAAGCGCTAAATTAAGAAATGCACTATCTTGTATCTCGCTCTGTACTCGTGTAACTACATTCACGCAAGCTTAAATTAGGTTGAGTTCCCAAATCAACAAGGAAGATGCATCGCCAGATCAAAACTCCTACTCTCGCCTACTCTCCCTAGAAGTTCGAGTCAACGCTACGTCGAAGTGCGGCACTTCGACGGATCTTATGAAAAACCGCAGTTTCAAGTGCCTCTGGCAGAGGCACGTTCCATCTGGTTGATTTGACCACCATCAAGACTCCTACGCCAAACCCCAACGATTCAGCCCCGGTGGCTGAATGGCCACGGTGGCAAGACTTAGGATACACCTCATCATTATGGGCAATGACCTCCCAAGTACGCATCGCGATCAGGACTGACGCAGAGCTATGAGGTAGCTATGAGTTAGCTCTCGAGCCACCTTTTTCCGGTCTGAAGTTGACCTTGTCAGCAAAGCACTTGGCGCGTTTATCCTCGCCAACGAATACTACGTAAACGTGACGTGACGTTGGGATACAGTCACGGGCAACCCCGCTGCGAGAATGAGAGTACATTCATGCTCTCGGGATCTCATCGTGAGGGTACAGTATATGCCCGCTCGCTCCGCGACTATAGCGAGCTCGCCCAGGACGAATTTCCGCTCAAGTAGCGCGACGATTCCGCTGAGACAAAACTAAGCGCGTAGCCGAGCATCCACTACCGCGGTTATCTCCGTCGACTAGATTTGTTCAGAGGAAAAAGAGCTCGTCGCGATTTCCGGCGACGGGTTCATATTACTGGAAGACGGCAGGAGGAAGCTAACTAGCAACGCAACAGTATTTCCAGGACGAGCGAGGCTCACTGTCACGCCTCGAGCGGTAGTCTAATTCCGAGTCGGAATCTCCGACTGCTCTAAGACATTCTTCTTTGCCTGAACTAGCGAGCGTTTTTCACATTGACCCTATAGCCAATGTGGCGTTGGTGATGCTCAACCTCAATATTTCGCTTCCAGAATCGGTTAGGATATTACTTAGCAAATCTGATGGCTAGAAATGCTCTGTATCCCATCATGACACAGGCATCATGGCGTGGACATGTCCAATGTGCTTTGAATTCGAGTCTTGTATTTCAACAGGAGAGCCTCATGCTCGCCCTTCACTTGGAAGGATTCAGTTATTTCTAACATGGAGACATGCCTGTACTTGTCGCATCTCGCCTTCCTCATCGCCCAAGAAGTTGCGGCTTTGCTTCACTTCGACATCATCAACAACCGCGTGTCGATGACCCTTGATGGGCACACCGTCAAGTTATTCCTCGATTCAGCAACGCCTGAGTGGTTGGTCATGTCGGGTGAGGCCTACGAGAAGTCGAACGGTGTGGGAGCGTGCCGCGAGCTCGAAACAGGATGCTACTTCTGTCCTCCAACGTATCCTTGTGATGATGTACTCGAACGCCCTCGGACCACGATCAAATATGCTGATGAAGATACTGTGGAGTACGTTAGCCACACTGGAACACTCTCCATTGGCAATATGACTGACATCGAAGTGAAATTCGATCTAATTATCAGTTTCCAGAGTCCGTTGCGGGGAGCACCACCCCAGGGCATCTTGGGCTTAGCTCTAGGTAACAGGGAACATCCTTCCATGTTGGACCAGCTGAAGATGCTTCGAGTTATCAAGGAGGTCTCTGTAGCGATTGAAGCGAGTGAAACGGAGAGTTTGTTGAATGGTAGACTGTTTCTTGGCGGTAGCCCACGGAGTCTGGCAGAACTTTATCCAGTGAAGTTCACAACACATCCAACGTATTGCGAACGTTGCGGCACCGTTCTGAGATCCGAGCTGAAGACAGTCAATCGACGGAGCCGACTCCCTATGGAAGGCTCCACCAGTAACTCTTCGGATCTTCCCCGTCAATTCACGCATGTTTTGGTGGATACCGGGTGTAGTGCTTTGGGCCTCACATATGGTGAGTACGAGATGATTTCGAACAAATTGAGACACAGGATGCAGGAGAAAGGGAACCCACTGGATAAGCCTTTATGGTTGGACGAGAAGGGTTTAGTATGGGTCGATACACGAGCTTTCAAATACCTTCCTGTACTGGGATTCGACTTGATGGACGACTCTGGTGCAGAGCTCACAAGCGTTAGGATCTCTCCGAAGCATTACGTTCAGAAATGCTACGTGGACCGATGTGTGTTGGATCTGATCCCGATATCGGGCAATGTTCTCCACCTCGGGCACCCATTCTTTCGTGCCTACTTTACATACATCAACTTGAACACTAGGACGCTCTTTATTATTTCAAACGAGGCTAAACAATCCAACTCGGTGCCGCGTTTATCAACTTGGAACGTCGTTGGAACAACTCCCTGTCCGAGATCAGTGAGGGGCTCATCTCTGATGACGCACGGCTGCCGTTCATCCCATGGCGGTCATGGGATGGACCAGTCATGGCATGACCAGAACCGGTTCGACCTACAGATGAAACGGGACCGCGATGTTGCACCCCGTACAAGCAAAGAGCGAAAGCGAAAACATCCAATCAGCCTGGGGCCGAGATTGGTTGAGCCTGAGGATGTAACCAACTCCAGTGATTGATTGATGTGTCTCCAGCATCGACAGTATCAGTACGGTACGGCATTGCTCGTTCCATGCTACCATTTCTCTGAGAAATGAGAAATTCTCTCGTCCATGGATGCTGTACGAGTCTCAAGTTGGGCGGGAGTGCATGTCTGCTCTTTGTAAAGGTGTCTATCGATGTTCATTTGATTCAAGAGCGTTGTGCTGCTAGTTTCATCCAAGAACAACATGTCGCTCCAACAATAAGAGTCTAATCATAAGACCCGCTGTTGCTCGATTGGAGGCCCTCATGCTAGCGACAGGCTGCGAGGAGTTATTCAGACAGCGAGGTCGTATGAAAACATCCTTCGATAATACATCCGTGGCTGATGTTCTACTCCAGAAAGATGTTCGAAGGTTCAAGTGGCAAACCTGTGAGCCATAAGAGTCTTCCTGGGGATAATATGCATGTCGATATTCGAGGCAGACAGTGCCCATATCATGTCCGAATGCAATGGGTGTCACCCATTGGGTGGGATGATGCTCGGTTTTGGTGCCGGGAATGATGACAGTAGGGAGGTGAGGAACCGTCATCGAAGTGCATCAATTGAGTGCAGAGACAACTCTGGAGAGCAGCCCGGCGAGCATCTCAGCGCATGTAAGGATGATGGGACGCCGAGTTGGTCGCTCCACCTCAGGTGGACCACCTGAAATGTTAGTTCTAGATGAGCAGTACCCTCATCAGCCAAACTCTGTCAGACCGTGCTCAGGTGGTGTTCAGCTTCCATGACTCCCTCTCTGGCACAGTGCCAGTGGCCCTCCTATTCTGTGCTCCGGGGTCCTCTGGCGCCGTCCCGGACGGCGAGTCGCTGTCCGCGAACTTCTTACGGAGGTTGGTCTCTAGTTTTGCTGCTTTGTCTTCAAGGTGACGGGCAATTTGCTCGGGGCAAGTCCTACTCCACTGTGTTGCTGAGCCCCTACCTCGGAGCCTTCTCCAATTTCGTTTAGAGGCGATCGCATTCCCCTTTGCAGCACCTCCTGTTCTGCAGTATTCACTACAACTGCAGTCTGCAAGTGACTGACAGAACAAGACATTTTCCGTTATGCTCGAATGTTAACATATTCATGGTCACCATATAACTACCGTAGTTAGCGCAGGGGTTGTAAGGCAAAGGTGGAACAATACTGTTCCGCATGAGAAGCGGCAGATAGTCACTTCCCATAAGGAACCACCTTGAAGGCCTTGAGTACCAGGGACCACGCGGGTCACGCGAGTGACCGGCAAGCCGAACATAAGCGGCCCCTTCTCAGTTTCTGTTGACGTATCCGTCCAAACCGCAGTTGAAGATACCAAGAGAGTCTTATTCACCCAGTCCGATATCCGCTGCCCTCCAGCCACTATGTTGTACTCGTATCTTCACACAGACCTCTCACTACTCCACCATTGCAAGCGACATCACTCACTCTATTACATTCAGAGAGAACTAACTCACAAGCGATTCGTGGTGGGTACAGAAGCACTTACACAGCGCCATCCAGTCCACCACTGACCAATCTCGAATCGTCCCAATTCCAGCTGATCGTTCTGACCTGGAGGAAAGTCTACTTGCCATCACAGTGGTAGCTGCTTACTTTGTTGTTATGTCCCTTCAGGTGATAGAGAAGCTCGCACGTGTAAGTCTTATAGACCTGGCAAAGACGACCATCCTCAAACGCCTCTCCGAAAGATGAAATGAGTGAACAAAAAAAATAAAAAATTACATATACCCTTTGCGCTGTCGCCTATGAGCAATACGAAGGCTAATTCTCTCTAAAATTTTGTCCACAGCCAACGAATAGTGCTACGCATGAGCTCAAGTACAGGATACGTCGATGATCTCCCTAATAACCTCAATGCTGTTGCCACAAGCTGCAGCGAACATATGGCCACCGTTGCTAAAACGGCACTCTCTACAGCTCTTGATATGCGGAAAGTCCCTGTAAGTCTTCAGTTCATCCCTCAGACCTAATCAGCCGACAGTCCAATCTCATAACAAACCTCGACGTTATCAATAAAGAGAGCCAATTAGGATCTCTCGACTGTCGCATGCAGTGTTAGGAAATATGATGGCTTTCTTCA